GGATTAATATGGTTTGAGAAAATGTCAAAATGACGTAGGGATCCGAAAAGTTCTGACAAAAAATTAGAGTAAAGCTCCGAGAATTTCCGAAGGTATAGATATTAATCTTAACCGGTTGGTGATCGGTTGAATGAGATAATTCGGTTCGGTTAACTGATGAAGAAAATTTTTCTCGGTTCAAATCACTAATCAAAGTAGAGAAACGCACCTGTGTATTAAATGTTACTAAAGCGAAAAGGCTAATCGATCGTACTGCATTAATTACGTCACATACAATTTTTCCGAGATTATGATAATCCGGTATAGTGCTAACTGACTTAGGTAGCGCACCCACAAAAATTGCCGCCGTAATTTTTACTGAGAATAAAACGTTGTAAGGTTAGGGTCAGGACGATAGAGTTTCTATTAGTAAAATTTCACGAAAATCATTTTTAATTAGGCCGCAGAAGGTGGTTTCTTAATTAAAATTTCGAGTTATTTCTAAAAAGAATGGTGATTGTTTACGTTACACCTGGTCTTGAAATTTGATTTGTCAGAAATCACGGGAGAGAACAATTTTTGTATATAAAGCTTTAACTTGGCAACACTTATTTCTTAAGACTTAGCAAATTGAAACTAACATTCTAAAAAGTTGATATTTTTCAATAAATTAGAAATTATATATTTGTATAAAAAAAAAAAATAATACAAAGTCTCGTGCGATATAGGTGATACTAATCTAATAAATTGATTAATTATACATTTTATATAGTGTTACCTATACTGTAAGAGATCATGATACAAGTATGATATAATTAAAAGTATTAGCTATTATAAAATTTATAAGATAATTATATCTTGGTTTAACAAATGTGTATTTACAAAAATAAGATAAATACCAATATTATAAATTATTATGTTGTCTATATAATAATCGATCATGAGAAAAAGGTTAAGGATAGTGATCATGAGGAAAGTTAAGGATAGAATTACGTATATACAGGCATATAATTAATTTTAGGGTGCAGACTGTGATTGCATAAATTGACTGTATGTCGCTATGGAAAGATCGTTCGAATTTGAGTCTTGAGTTCTCAAATCACTACGTTAATTTTTTTTTAAAAAAAAATTAGTTTGTATAATGCAATTCATTATTATATTATCTTTTGCCCCTTTTAACGTACCTCACTGCAATCACAATCATCCCAACAATGTAAGAAGCAACGGTTACTGGGCATGCCATTATAATTTGAATTTCTGAAAGTACTAAAGTAGACCAGACCAAATCATGCCAAATTGCTATAAAAAATGTTGCACCAGACCAAAATACGAAGCTGAAATATGCCGCTTGATTGAACATTTGCATCTATAAGAAAAGAAGGAAAGACTTTTTAAGAATTGAATGGCATTTTTCACCTCAAGAGTTAGGGATTTGCATTTAACCAAATACTTTCAAGCCTAGTTTAATTCGAAGTTCAATCTAGATTGGGCAATAAACTACAACTAACCCGCCCAACCTCAGCTCGCAATTATAGGATTATATCCTTGATATGTATCATGGTCCCTAACAAGAATTAGGATGTTTTTTATGATTACCTTTCGTAACTGCCACTTAATTCTTTCATTATTTCTCTGAGTTTCATCAATCAATTCAAAGCTTCGTTTTGTTAACTTTACCAGTGTTCGACCATATATTGTATATCCGATCAACATAGAAGTACAACCAAATGAATAGCCCAGAAGGCGAATAGTAAGGAATATATCAGATAAATGCTTATCTGAGCGCATACGAAAATAACCAGAAATTATAGATGAACCTTGACACACGACTATAAGGATTACGAAAAATGACCAATAAATGTATCTTATAATTCCTAGAGAAGGGATCCATAAAGAGCTTTGGATCTTATCAGATTCTGTTGTTGGTTGAATGACAGTAATTCGTGGAATTGTACGAAAACTATAGAATTTGACAAATATTTATCATAATTAAAATGTATAAGAATAATTGATAAATACGTAAATATAAGTAATCTTACACTCCAGCCAAATATGTTGCAACGGATAATTGAATATTTATCCATGTCCAATCTTCAACTGATTGACGAAGGATATAATTTCTTGGTTCTATGTCTGATAGAAAAATTATGCTACACAACATTCGGCCTGCAAATAAATTCGATGTTTTAAAGTAAATAAAAGAAAAAAGGTAATAAAAGGTTATGCAGATAAAAAGTTTATAATAAATCTTTTTATAGGAATTGAAATTTTCAACGTACATATTCCGCCAATAAATGTGAGTAAAAGAAATCCTTCTAACGGAGATGGTAGGCCTTCGACAAATAGGCGTGTTTTTCGTTTGTTTAATCGGTTTGATAATAATATCTTTTAAATCAAGTAAGCAATATTTTAACAAATCGAAACAAAGAAAAAAATTTTTTTCTTGACTAATAATAGTATTAGTTTGAATATTTTGAAACCTTTAAAGCAACATACCCCGGAGAACAAAGTCACTATTATGGATAATATAAAATTGCTATAGTAAACTGCGACAAAGAAGGATGAGTTTTTGCAATTAGTTATGAATATGTACCATCTAGTAAGATTTATGCAGTATTAGTTATTTGAGCATTTAAACCATTTAAGCCAAGAATATTTCAACATTGCAAAAGATATTTTACATGCAATAAACTTCGCCGTTGATAATATTTACAGGATCAACCGTGGATGTGGATTGGGATTCGTTCATTTAAGCGTTAATATTTTGACAAAAGAAACTTATATATATATGCGTGTATCAAAAAAAATTTTTTTTTAATTAACCAAAAAAAGATTTTTTTTTTAATTAACTAAAAAATTTTTTTTAATAAGTCTGATTAAAAAGGAATGATGCAATGCACGATGCATATTTTATTATTAAGGTTCCAGACAAAAAAAATCTTTCCGAATAAACTTTTGATCATGTCAAAGTTTTCGGTAGTTCCTTATAGTGGAAGTTAGTAAAGAACACCCTTTTTATCGGAATAATTGTAACATAAAGATGATCATAATAAAATTTTAGTTTGGTAATAGTAAATGGATTCCATTTTTATTTCATTGGAATGAACAATTAATGATATTCCATAAATTTACTATAAAAGGTATTAAGTTTATTCTTACTATAACACAAATTTCCTTAATTTTTCTAGTTTGTTGAAAAAATATTTGTCTATGCTAATAATGCATTAACGTGTACGTATGTACAATGTATGTGCATATGTACAGTACATACTAAGATATCCATATAATTAAAATATATATTAAATTTCCCAATAATCTTACCATAAATGGAGAACAATCAATCGATTGGTTCTCGTATTATATTGTATGACATACAAATACTAATAGGACCTCATTTATCGGACTATTTACATACTAGTTGATCTTAAGACGAATTTTTAGAACCTGGTAAATGTCGAAATACTTATTTTTGCGAGTGGTACAAACCCAAAAAGGAAATCGCATTTGTAAAATAAACTAAGAAAGTTTAGTG